TAGGAATTGCTCTCCCTGGCCATTTTACTTTGGAGTGCAGAAAGGACTGGATTACTGGGCTTCTGCAGAAGAATCTACCCATGAAATGCTTAAATGGTAGTTTTTAAAGCACTTACCAAATCTTAACTTAAGTTAAATATATTCCACTATGTATTCAAGATGGACAGTGATTAATATTTATAGGTATTTATATGTAAGGGTGTAGGTATATACATCTGTGGTATATAGCATGTTTATATGTGTATTATGTATGTGTTTGCTTTTGAAAGCAGACAACAGAATTTCATTTTTAATGTGTGCCAGTGTGCCCACAGTAAAAAAAAAAAATGATAATAAAGGTTATCTCTCTTAACACAGGTTTCGAACAAGCAAATATAAGGCTCTGTGGAAAGACTACTAGATCTGTGATTTAAAACACGTTTAGGTTTTTTTTTTTCTTCCAAGACAAATCAGTAGTTCTGTGATTCATAGGTCGATTTAAACAGGAAAATAACCAATTTTTTTCCAGCTGTGTGTTGCTAGTGTTGTCACAATGTGCTGTATTATTGGTTTCCAAAAAAGCATTTCACAGGGTCATGCTTTTTACTGTTTTTTAATACCTTGATGGGGAAAAGGGTAGCACCATTTTGCCCATTTTGTTTGGACGTTAGCAACAGTTGTTGCCATGATGATGGCTGTTGTTATTACATGCTGGCTAATTACAACTGCAGGCTTTTCGTGACTGTTCTTGGGAATTGTGAACATAAGATTTGACCTGGATTCTTTGGTTATTTGCTGCCAACAGAGCCAACTCTCTTGCAGTATTATTTGGTAAATTTTGATTGTTATTCTCTCTCTCTTTCCCTCCCTCTCTCCCCCCCCTCTCACACACACACACTATTTTGCCCCACACTCAATTACCTGTTTGCTGGTCTATTTTGAAACACGGGTTTAGTGCTGCTTGGTCATGGGCCCAGAAGATAGATTATGTCAAGGAGAAACATCAGCTCCCTATCCCTTCAGCCCTTCTTTCCAGTTCCTTGTCTGATAGACCAGTTGCACTTTTCAAAGATCTTTAGGCCTGTATTCACAAGTGACACAGCAGTCAGGTCAAACTTGAATTAGAGTTGTGCAGAAATACATTACCACATACCTACACTGTGAAGGGATTAATGGGTAAGCATAGGTTACAAATGGCTATAAGACAGAACCTGCTCACCTTCCAAATCCCAACTGCGTGTTGTGCAGAGATGCATGTCCCGCATAATGATTGGTTGACCCGACTGCCCGCTCTGTGTTTTGCTGTTTGAGCGCCCCCAGCCAGAATGAACATTTGCAGACATATAAATGCAACAGAAATGCAACTGTCTCTGAATGGCATACGTTCCCTGACGTGTTGTGATGGAGAAGTCTGATCCAGGCTTCACAGGGTTGCACTGAGTAGGAGAATTGGAAGGAGCGTCCTCCCACTTCATCTCAGGTACTCCTCTATGCCTGTGACTTGTTAGTTGGACAACTAGAGGAGTAGCCAAGCCTGCCTTTTAGAACAGCCATCTCCTTGATTGTAACTTAACCATAATACTGCGCATTAAGATCCCGTAGCTGGTTTTTTTGCTGACAGATCAGAGGTGGGAAAAGTCAAGGAAATCCACCTATGCCTTAAGCTGTCCCTCAAGAACTGCATAAGAAAAACTTGTCCCTCAAGAGCTGCATCAGGACAGCACACTTCAGCTTCATTACCATTGCATAATGCAAATTGGTAATGTGGCAGCACAATTTCTGCCGGCAACATAATTTCCCTGCTGCCTCAAGGACTGTGGGATAGGACTTTTACTCCAGCCATCTGGAGGAGCCCTTAGAGGAATTTTAACAGTCTAGCTGTGCTTATATGCATAGCCAAACATCTTTGGTAGCCCACCAAAGATGAGGAGAGAGCAGCTTATGTTAAGTTATTTTTATCCTTATTATTTTTACAGTAGAAAAGAAAGATGCTTGTGGATTTTCTGCCAAAATCGTTTGTCTAGTTTGGATACTCTTCACCATGATGGGACTCAGTGCCTTTGATCATTCTTTGTACAAAATAACACTCAAATATGCTTTTATGTATGTACGAACAACATATAATACACATATATCTGGTGCTGAGACAACAATGGCAATTTATTTTAATGTGATCATAAGTTGATTTTCACTTTGATCATAAGTCAAAAAGAAAATTGGTTTACTTTAAATAACATTTAATTTATTACCTTATGATTTTATTGTGTATATTATTTATTGTTATTTTATTTTTCAGATGTACGTTTTCTCTTTGGATGTGGCTGAATTTTGTTATACTGTCTGTAAAACAGACACACTCTGATCAGCACAAAGTCCTAGCTGAAAATTTATGTGATCCTATTTTATTTAAAATAGAAATTATATTATTATTATTATTATTTAAACTACTAGTAACAATTATATTGTATTCTACATTTTCTAAATTTCCCTTCCTATGTATAAACTAGGATGTGATTTAAATTCTCAAGGGAAATCAAAGTGGTGGAAAAAGGGGGAAAAAATCAATAAAATTATGAAATACAACAATAAATCCAGCTATCCTAGAAGAAGATAATGAAATCAGTAAATGTTAAAAGAGTTTTTTTAAAAAAAAATACCAAAAAAGATGTGACATGGAAATGGTATATAGTTTGATTGCCTTCCCTATCCATTAACAGCTGAAATCTTTTCATGCAGCAACACACATTCTTCTAACCAGGTCTGGGTTCACTTTTGGAGCATGTCAAGGCCAATCAAATCCTGTAAAATGAACTTTGGTAGGAGAAATACTTTTTGAAAGATAGAATCTACCTATCTTTTCTTTGATCCTTTTAAATTTCATTCCTATCTCGTGTTTTATATATGAATGGAAGGGACATCTGCTTACATATGTGTCTCCCATCATGATATCATATGACATAAAGAATTGTTATAGGGAAAAACTGGAGGCAGGAGTGTTGTGAGGAGGAAAGGCAGGACATACATTTAAAAAATGCCAATAAATTAATAATTGCATTGAATTGCAAATCCTATGAAAATTGACTTGAATCTGGTTTTGGGGCTGACAGGAAACTGCCATCATATTTTTGGAAATAAAATGTTCTTTAAGAATAAAACACTTCCTTGGTGTTGTATGCCGAAGAAAGGGCAGAGGGCAATTATATGGTTAATGTAATATGTAGTTCAGCCTAATTCATGTTTACCAAAAAGTCTTTCACGGACTTACTGACAAGTATACGCTGGTAAATTATCAGACCTTTGCTGCTGATATTAAGGCTGTAGTGTTTAACCGTTTAATCAGATGAGTTGATTAAAAGGCTTTTGATCCACAATATTCCTTTGCTTATTTTGACTTGAGAGTTTCCTCTTAGTTTAAGAAGAACAAAGTTCACTGTAGAAACAAGAGATAGACAGGTTTTATTTTACTATTGTTTACAATTAAAATAAATATAAATTAACTCTTTTGTTGATAGATAAGCATACCTTGTCAAACCAAGAAGTTGTTTAGAGACTGCTTGTCAACTAAAAGAGGAGTTTTAAAAAGTATATAGTAAATAGTTACTTTTAATAACTATTCTTACAAATATATACGGGAAAATTTATTCTTCTTTCTCATGAGAAGCAAATGATTCCTAAATGTATTTATTTAGCTGTTGTATTTATTTTCTGTTTTCTAAAATGCAGTTCCCTGATATGATCTACAACATAGTCAGATATTTTCCTTTGAAAATGATTGTTTTTTCAGAAGAAACTCTCATGAATGTAATTGCGTTGTAAAGTAAACTGCAAATGATTAGTTGATTAAACTTTTTAAAGCTTATGGCACAATATTCTCCTTTTCAGCAGAATTTGGAAAGAACTGAGTGAGATCCATTGATTCAAATAAAGCTGTATGGCATTTATACTTGGTGTGTCCTACCTTAGACAAGATGCTCAGCAGGTTATTAATCCAGTTGTTCTAGGTGTCATTATAACCCCCCAGATACCAAGTGATTTTTTTTATGCTGGGTACATATATGAGTTCAGCAGAAAAAAAATTGCTGACTATGTATTTGTATTTCTAACACAGAGATGAGAGAATTGGAAAAAGAAGCTGCAGGCAAAGCACCAAGTGCCTTTAGGAAATATACACTATTTTACTATATTTGCCCTTCTGTAAGCAATACAGAGTTTACTTGAAGGACCAGACAATCTTGTCTCATGAATGTTATTCAAGTAAGACTGAAAAATACTAAATTGCTTTTTTGTACAAGTATTTGGATCAGTGTCAAGTGAAATGATAGGAAAATTGCATGCAAGCTGGGTATCAGAGGGGTTCAGAAGACTTTAAACTGAAAGATCAAGCTTTATCATTCCTAAAGAGAAGTTTTAGGTCTTGCTGAAGAATAATAGATGAGTATCCCAGGAATCTTGTGCACTATCCCATTTCTTAGTTTAAATGTACAATCCGTGTTCCCCTTGTTGGAAAGATCAGAGGGCTTTGGGAAGGATATACACAAATGCAGTTCTGTTTTTCAGAATGCTGTCCACTGCAAGGTCAGCTTCTGGGTATCCATCATTTTGCTCTCTGTATTGCTTAAGTAGAAAGATCCAGATTTAGTCGCTTACATAAGACTGTGAATCACTATTCATCAGGAGGTTATGATTAAAGTGAAGTACAAGAAGTACCTTGCTAAAAATTATTGTATCAATTACATCAAGGGGGCAAGGGAACAGCCCTGCAGATTTTGTAATGACCTGAACTCCCTTATGTGAAAACTAGCAAGATAGTTTTGTGATAAGACACCACAGCATTTGTACCATACTGTGTTTATTGAGAAGGAGTTCTCTCTCAAGACATTGCTTTGCAGCAAGCTTTCCTACTAGGACAAGTCAGGGCAGAAAGTTAACCTAGTTCTGAAAAACATTAGGAAACATGCTGTTCTCTCTCTTCCTGTATATTATAGTTAAACATTATTTCATTAAAGGCATCTTTCTTACAGATATACAGATTCTATCAGAAGATAAAATATCTGACTGGAAACCATATATTGGACCGCAAAGATGGCCTCATTACTACTTTATTACTTAAGGTATTGAAGTACAATATGATAAAATACAAGTAGTCTCTTGCAAAGCAAGACAATTGCTAAGTGAGTTTTGCCCCATGGTTAAGTGAATTTCTGTAATTGCTAAGTTGGTAACATGGTTGTGAAGTGAATCTGGTTTCTCCATTAACTTTGCTTTTTTAGAAGCTTGCAAAAGGTGATTGCATGACCCCGGGACACTGCAATCGTCATAAATATGAGTCAGCTGCCAAGCATCTGAATTTGGATCACATGACCATGAGGATGCTGCAGTGATCATAAGTGTGAAAAATGGTCATAAGTCACTTTTTTCAGTGCCGTTGTCACTTTGAACAGTCAGTAAATGAATTGTTTTAAGTTAAGGACTACCTGTATTGGTTATGTGTATGTGAGGAACTGAACCAACTTTTGAAACATACAGTAAAGTGGAAGAGAAAAACTCTGCTGCCCTGTGACATTTTTTTCCAAGGCAGAGTTGACATTTCAAAAAGAATAGACTGTGTGGGGCAACAGGAAGGAGCAAAGGGGAGAGCCCTGGAGTTGATCCAGGAAAATAAAACATGGGAAAACAGTCAGGAGAAAATACCCACAGTCTTCTTAACTTTCAAGCACTATGTGTTCCTTACAGGAATGATAGAAGTTAGAATGCCTGGCTGAGGAATTCTGGGAGTTGAAGTCCACAAGTTATAAAAGGGCCAAGTTTGAAGACCCCTGAAATAGATGATGGTCCTGAGCTCTGGGTCAAAGCCTTAAAAGAAGGCAGTTGCCCTTGGTTCCACCAGAGAGATGATTCTAATCCATCATTGCTAAACTGATTGGGCAGGACAAACTGAGGGGAAAAAAACTTCACTGTCATGCAATGAGAAAAAAAAAAGTGGGGCCTCCAATGAATACTCTGCCCCTGAACTTCTCAGAGGTTTAAAATGGCACTATCCTATGTTTATAACAATGGTGCTAAATCATTTGATCTTTTAATCCAGGAGAATGTTATTTATTAGATAAGGGTGACTATAGTTCAACAAAATAAGGAGAGTCCAAGACCATTTTAAAACTTACTTAGTTGACCTACAATGCTATCTCTTTTGAACTAAAGTACTGGATAATATTTTTGCAGAATTTTAATGTACATTTTTGTCAGAAGTTCAAAACTGGAATCCCCCCATGTTATTTGTCAAACTAACTTTTTTGTATATATATATAGTCCATGCTTGCATTCTTATGTGCTATTAGTGAAACAGAAAGCCACTAATAAAGCTGAGAATCTATGGTTATTTTCTGTATAATAGTTTTGATCTAATGTAGACCCCTCTAATGAATTTTATTTTTGTTCTCTCATAAGTTTCTAAATGAGTATATCATCATTTTTTTCTTCTATTTCCACTTCTCTTCTTTTCAAATTTAAGCTATGCAGGATATTACATTTACTTCAAGATTTTTGGATCCTTGCTAAGCCAATATAATGATACTTGTTATCAGCAAAACAGTACTGTATACTGTATTGCAAGACACAATAGCTAGAAAAAAGTCCTGCTATTCATAAATGAGTAACTCAGTGAAACATTTATTAACTGAGGTACATCATACAACAGTGAATGCAGTTTCACTCCTATGTGAAATTAGGACCTAACTGGAATGAAATGGCCTTTTTAAAAAATATCAAGATAATTTTTATCAAGATAAAACATATTTCCTTTAATCCAATGGCTGCATATGAAAAAATTGATTCTATTTTTTCTGTAAGAACTATTGAGAATAACACTTTGGAAATTAAAATATCTGAGAATCTGTTACACTGGTCCAACAGTTTCTGAAACTGCATCATAGTCTATGGCTAAATTTATTTCTAATAATAACCCACCATTTGGGGATGCTCTTTAAATAAACCAGTATTTGTCAAATCTAGTAACTTAAAAGATGTATGGACTTTAACTCCCAGGATTGAAGATTCCCAGCTGACTGGGGAATTCTGGGAGTTGAAGTCCACATGTCTTAAAGTTGCCAAATTTGACAAACACTGAAATAAACTAACCACTTTGTGCGTACAAGTAATCCTCAATTTAAAACCACAATTGAGTCCAAAATTTCCATTGCTAAGCAAGACTGTTGTTAAATATTCTCCATGTTACAATCTTTCTTGCCACAGTTGTAAGGTGAATCACTGCTGTTGTTATATTAGTAACATGGATGTTAAGTGAACCTGGCTTCCCCATTGACCTTCGTTCATCAGAAGGTCACAAAAGGTGGTCACATGACCTTGGGACACTGCAACCGTCATAAATACATGACAGTTGCCAAGTGTCCAAATTTTAATCACATGACCATGGGGATACTGCAACAGTCATAAGTGTGAAAAATGGTCATAAGTCACTTTTTTAGTGCCATTGTAACTTTGAATGACCACTAAACGAATGGTTGTAAATCGAAGACTACCTGTATATTCAAAATTATATATTCCTATCTTTGAAAACAACATTGCTGTTCCGAAGTTAAGTATTTTAATGATACATGGCATACAACTCAATCTGTCTTGCACACAAAAGCAAATATGTCAGAAGGGTAGTGTTTACTAACAGAGCTGCTATGCTCCTTTGTGCTTTATATATCAGGATGCTGGAAAAAAAGGCATACGTTTCATTCAAATAAAGGAGAATATTTGTAGCTCAGGGTTGACGTGAGGGGTCCTTGGTGCTCTCTGAACTTACTTGTTTTCTTGTAGACGTTTCATTACCCATACTAGGTAACATCGTCAGTGCTAGTGAGGAATGTAGAATATAAACTGACAGCAAACGGCACTCCTCACTAGCACTGATGATGTTACCTAATTTGGGTAATGAAACATCTGCAAGAAAAGAAGCAAGCTCAGAGAGCACCAAGGACCCCTCTTTTCATTCAAAATACTGGGGATGGTAGAGTAGCTACAATAAGAGGCAAAATTGATCGCACTTATTTTAGCCTACTGCTGTTGGGTCAAGATAAGTACCCCTAACTTGATACTAACTGATCAGGAGGCATTTTCCAAGGTTCAGCAATTCCAGCTTCTCCTGAATGTGCGGTCCAGGAATGTAACCACCCTACCTCTTCCACTGAATCTTGCCAAATGCCTGTTTTTCAGTACTAAATGTCCCAGAGACCTGTCATCCATATTTATGACTTATTATGGTATGTGGCTAACCTTCTGTCATTTAGCATTGCAGGAAGTGCCTATCACAACTTGCCCATTGGCAAAACAAAAACAAAAAAAGAAAATAATTTTCTTTCGCTGCTATCAAAGTCCTATTCCTTCGTGTGACTAGGGAATTTAAATGTAGGTGTAAAAGTAACCAAATGGACAAACTAAACAAACAGTGCACGCAGTGTTGACATGGATGGTTATTCCTGTGTGACCCCCCCACTGCTTTGCAAAGCTGCGCCGGTTACTGGTTAGCTACCAGATTCAAGGGGCTGATATTCAGCTATGCATAGACCTACAGTCTGGTTATTGGAGGGACTATGTCTCTGATTTTTTTATGCCCATGCAGTGTGATCAAACAGAGCAGCCATTTTATGGGTCCCATCAATTAAGCAGTGTCATCTTGTGGGACCCAGGGAGTTGCCCTCTTTCTATCATTCTTCATGGCTGCCCTCAGGAATGATAACCTTCCCCCCCTCCTGATCCAGATGGTCCCACCCTGATGACTATCCAAAGCTATTAAAAAGCTGGCTATTGTCCCAGGCTTTGAGGTAAAGAGTAAAGAGTGATCTTCTGCTGAATAGCTTTTTTTTTTGGGGGGGGAGGATTGGTTGGTTATATGTTCTTTTGGGGGGTCATTCATAATTCCTTGCTTGTTTTGAATTTTATATTTTTAATTGCATGCTGGTCAGAGTCATTGGGAATCAGGTAGCCTATAAAACACATACATAAAAATAAACAGTGCTTGGTTTCCAAGAAAGTATGTGACAATTCCTTTGGATCCTCCATATTGAAAAATGAAAAAAAAAAGAGATGTGATTGCTGAATATCCTCTTTTCATTCATAGGAAATTAGTTTGAAATAAATATGAACCTTTGAAATAAATGGAACATTTGACAGAAAGCAGGACAGGGTTGGATAAAGGCTCCTTTACCCAGCCAAATTTCCTGCTGCATTATTGACTTTTAAGAATATTTTCTTGGTGTAACGACATTTTTTTATATTTATTTGATTTACAATGTATTTTGTACTCTGCCAAGTAATCAAGGCAGTTAAAAATGTAAAATATTTTGTAAAACAATGTTCATTGTTTTAAGAAATTAAAATTAATACACACACACATATCTTACTAAAAACACATATTCATTAAAATCCTAGGGAAAGCCTACCAATGTCGAGAGACTTGGGGATCAAGCACAATAATCAAAAGGATGCGTTCTGTGATCTGTGAGCACCTGGGTGTCACAACCATGCAGTAGAAGCCCTGACTCTTTGTATGCATTGATATCACAAACATATATAAAGGGGTATAGCTTTGAATTTAAAGTAGATAAAGTTGTTGACCAAAATTGGCACCTGTGACCAAGATGACAACCCTTACAAATCAAACTCGATGATAGGCCAGCTGTACTTGAAGAAGGCAAACTTGAAGGACCTGGGATCCAAGCCCTGAAGGGGTTTATAGAATAAAAGCAGCACTTTGAGCTGTACTCAGAAACAGATTAGGAGCCCTACTACATCCCTAAGCAACTATTATGTGCTTGTAATGGGTCTAATCTACTAGGAGGCAGGCCATTGCATTTTCCAGGCAATAGTCTGCATTGCAGTACTGTAATTTATTCTTCAGTTGTTAACCACATACAGTCGTCTAAAGTTGCCCTCTTGCTTATACTGAAGCATCACAGACATAACATGTTTATATAAGCTGTTTTATTGAACACAAAAAGCAGTCCTATATATCCTGAAGAACACAGAAATCAAACTTTCCATGTATGTATCAATCAAACCATCCAGGAGCTAATGTGGTGTAGCGGCTAAGGTGTTAGATTAGGAGCAAC